GACTAGAAAACAATAAGCAAATACAGTTGGATTTTCCAGTCCTGACTCCTGACCACATCCCACAAGCCTCACTAATATCATGTGGAAAAGCACAAGAATATATTAAACATATAGCTAGTGTTAGTTTTCTCTATTCTTTTTCTACTGCATGGCAATGGAAAAGGCAGAAAGGGCATCCAGGTTGTCCATTCTATTTTTTTTTTTAATATAATTTTATTTAAAGTTTTAAAAACAAGAAGAAAAAAGGGTTGTCCATTCTTGAAGGATAATCAGCCTTCTTATCTTGTTCTGAGGACCGGATCAATAATCAATTCTGCCCGATAATTCAAATGGATCCTCTCAAGATAAAAGCTTCCCAAAGCTTTCTTTCGACCAAAACTCAGTTTTAAGCCCAGGAACATAATTTAAATTAAGCAGCAACTGATTCTGGGGCATCCCACTTCATTTTTAATCCCTGGTACTTCTAGATTGTCATCATCAGAGCCCTTCAGATGTTGCTGCCCCTTTGCTCTGCTAAATGCACCATCCATTGCTTCCTAGTAAAGTCTGAGCAGCCAGCACCCTCTCCTAGAAAAAAGCAATACCAAGCTGGAACAAACCAACTAGGTAACACCCCTGTCTATGTTCTGTTCAAGAGGTCCTTTCTGTCTCCACAGTCATGGTTTATGAAACAAGAAGTGAACTCAGGGTCCTCTAACACTTCATTCTTGGAAGATATTGTCTACCACATCTGAATGTGGGCATGCTGGTTTAATGTTGGCTAGCTCCCAGGGGGCTACCTGGTTTTCCTAGGAGCTCCAGGAGATGAAATGATAGAAGAGACACCTAGAGCACCATTAGAGTAAATCTGACCAAGCATCAGTAAGAGTCTATAGTAAGAATTACATCATGGTGACAAGGGTGGCAAAATCTAATCTATTTTGCTATTCTTATTGTGTCCACAGGTAGATGATGAGCTGTCCTTTGTAAGATGACCCATTCTCCACTGGGAGGAATAGCCACAAGAATATCTACAGAGCCACAGTGAAGAATATTCTAGGCATCTGACAGATGAAACGACTCAGATCTGCTCAGTCAGATTCTGACTGGGCAGGTCTAGTTGAGGTAACTGAGGCACAGTCTTGTTCCTTGGGATTGCTAACCTGGTCATGTGTTTGTTTTAATCTTGTCTCGCCTGGTTAGTGAAGGCCTCCCAAGAGTTGACATGTAGTTGGGTTTATGTGACTTCACCTGAGGGAGGTGATGGTTCTACCTGCCTTGAAGGAGGCAGTGGTGTATCTCCTCTTCAAGAGAACATCACTGCTCCCATGAGTCCTGGATAACTTTCATACAGTTTCCAACTTCCTCTTTCTGGGAAAAGTTATTGAGAAAGTGGTTGGGCTTCAGCTTCAGAGGGCCTTGGAGGAAATCAATTATTTGAAAAACCCCTTTTCAGTTGGGTTTCAGGCCAGAATATAGCCCTAAGACAGCATGGTTCTCATTTGTTGACAATCTCCAGTGGAGCCATGATGGGGGAGCTGCAACTGTCTTGGCAATTCTTGAACTCTTAGTGGCCTTCAATACCATTGTCATGGTCTGACTAAGGTGAGTGGGAGTAGGTGTACAGCACTGTGGTGGTTCTTCTCCATTCTTCCTGGCCAGTTCCAGTCGGTGTTGATGGAAGAGGAGAAATTAAGTCCAAAGTCCTTGACCTGCAGGATGCCACAAGGCTTGACACTCTCACCCCTCCTGATTAACATCTACATGAAGCTGCTGGGTGAGGTCATCCATTGGCACAGTGGCAGGTATCACGATTCCATTAAAAAAATCCATCAAAATAGTTTTTCATTTTCTTTATCTCTTTTATTCTTAACTGTTTTCTTCCTATCTTTGATCATATTCCTTGCAGCTACGTATAATAGACACATTATATAATACCTTTCTTTTCTCATTTTCTGCAATAATTAAGTCTCATCCACAGCCATTTTCACTTCATCATTCCACTCCTTTTTCATACATACTATCAGTGTAACTTCACACATTTCTGTGGCATTCTGTAACATAGTTCTCTTCATTCTGCTCAGGCAGTTATCTCATCATCTTTCATTACATCCACTTTCCCTTCCTTTCCTTCCAGGTCCATTTCCCCCCAATATCCACTCTTCACATAACCAAACAATGGCTTGTCCCACATTCAGATCCCCTCATCACCCTTGTGGTCTTGACTATTCTCTCAATCTTTCATCATAAATAATAAAATCAAATATGGTTTTATATTAAGCCCTCTGCCATGTATATACTTAACTAGTCTTATGGTTAAAAGATAGATAGATAGATAGATAGATAGATAGATAGATAGATAGATAGATAGATATCAATAAGTAGAGGAAGGACCAATGAATATCAATAAGTAGGGGAAGCACCAATGACCTAACTGCTTAAATAAGCCTGGAGAAAAAGTCAGATTTTTACCCGAGCCCTGAAAAATTAAAGAATTAAATCTAAATGGGGTTACAAACAATAAAGAATTCTACAAAATGAGAGAAGTCTGAATGAAAAGTACATATAGATGTAAAGTGTCTTATGTTCATATAAATATTGGAAATATTCAAATGTATCCAGTATCGTCTGTGCAGGACCTGTTTGCTTATTTTAGTTGCTAAACTAAGTCTATTCAAGGCTTTCATATTTCATACTTAAAAATATAAATTTGCAAGCAAGGTACTTCAAAACTTCCCCACTCAAATACATCCCCTGACTTTTATATTGTTTGGTTTTCCAGTAGTCCATTTGGTAGATCACCCCAAAGGATTCAGCTGCTTTTGCATCTCAGTGGAATCATCTTAGGATAAAGACTATTTTTAAAATATATGTTGCAGGGAAACATAATCAACTTCTTAATCCCTTGCCTGTCAACTGAATATAATTTATACAATTTAGTCCCTCAATAATATTTAGAAAGATTCCATGTCTTAGACGTGCTAAAATGCGGTAAGGTGCCAAAATGCAAACAAGCTGTCTCTGACCTAATTCATAGTTAGGGTACCTCCATCCCAAGCTACCACTTGTTTGTTCTATTGCTCTGGAGTAAAACCTTTGTCAACCACTTCTACATGGCATTCCCATTATTTCCTTAATTGTTACTTGGAGAAATTTATGAGCTTTAATGCCTGTTTACTGAAAGTCTTTTAATCTAAAAAAGCACTCAAACAGCTCATATTAATAATGATGTTATTTGGGGGAGTTATATTCTTTTCCTAAGGACTTTTTCTGGCTTTTATAAAAGAAAATGGAAGTTCTTAGATGCAATGGCTTTGAGCGATTTTACTAAGGGCCAGGAGAGTGTTGGTTGGGGTAAAAATGTACAGTGCTTTTGACATGTACTGTCCCCTAATGGACCCTTTTGCAGCTGTTTGGTACAGAGAGGCTGCTATCTCTGAGCAAGCTTCTCAAGACACCCAGTTTTATTGCTATTAGTTTCAATAGCTTGGTGTTACTTAATGTTACCATTGCACCTGTGTACCAAGGGCATCCACAGGGAGCAGGCAAAAATCCAAGATAGAAGGTATGACTGTTGTGATTTGACAGACCTACAAAGGGGCAGACCTTCGATCACACAGATGTCCCCATCATCTTGGCTTTTGGGTCCCATCCCTGTGAACGGGTGTGTGTGTGTGTGTGTGTCAAGGGACCAAATGAAGAAAGAACTGAAAGAAATGAGAGTGAAAGTAGAACAACTGCAGGAAGAGAAAGTGCCCATCCTATATGAAAAAGTATTGGAAGTCAAGTCTCCCCATTGAAAGAACAGAAAATGAGCTTAAGGAAAGAGGACGTGGAAGCTGTGTGAAAACAGTTAGGTTATGAGGGCCTCAGGCATGGGTGGAATCGGGCTGATCAGGAAGTGGAATGGTGAAGTAGAAAAGGCTATGGATGAGGAAAAAACGGATAGGAGAGAATGACTGCTGCAAAGAATGAGTCTGAAACAAAGAAACTGTGTGACATACTCAGCGAGAAAAAGATAGCGGCAAAGAATGTGGTCAAACAGCGACAGGAATGGTTAAAATTTTAAAAGGCAGGGAAAATGCAGAGTGCTTTTGATAAAACTATAAAATTGTTTTGAAAGTGGTTGAAGAGGCTCCAGCAAAATGAATGGAATTAAAAATAAAACTGATGAAATTGTTTTGGTTGAAAGTGAAGTGAGGAGAGGCTGGAAGATGTATTTTAGAGATATCATATCAAAGAGTGGGCTTGAAACAAAGGGTGCGAAGGTTCATTTGGGAAACAACAATTGCACCACAGAATTTATGGGGGGGGGAATCATCTGGAAATGGAGAGGCCAGAGGTAGGCAGGCAGACTACAGAAAGATCATCAGCCAACTTTTTCCCTAATTAGACACAGAAGCCTGGTTTCAGTCTTAGCCAGACTGGACTCATTGCCTAAGGTTGTGCATGTAAAGAAACGTTCATCTTTTCCTGCACCCTATCCTTCTTTATTGTTGTTCATGTAGCTTTTATTTTGCTTGTCTCCTGCCCCCTTTCACCCCAGTTAAATTCTGGAACCAGAAAGAACAAGAAGTGTCCTGAAAATGGCCCAGCTGGGTTGCCGTTGAAGTCTGAGGCTTCCTTTTTGAATAGTTTTACAGAATCTCTTATTTCCCCAGTAAATTCGGGGGGGGGGGGGACTGGAATATTGTACAGACAGAGCAGGAAGCAAGCAGGTTAATGAGAGCCACACAACTCACTCTTTCACAAGCCTCTCTCATCCGAAAGAGTTCACTCCTCCTGTCGTGGTTTTGCAGCCCATCCAAAAATTCAGCCTTCCTCCACCCTCCACCGCCTTCCTTGGCGGCCCACCAACTCCTCCTCTTGAGAGAGGAGACCCGAGGAACTGCGCGCCCCGCCCTGTCCCGAGGTGGGATTGGTAGATCCACAGCGCCACCTGGTGGAGACCGGTGGAGGTGACTACGCTGCTCGGAGCCTTCTTGCAAGGAAAGACCCGAAGGAGGAGAATTACGAAGTAGGCAGTTACTTTCCATCAGAGAAGTTACAGTCTGGAGCTGAAGAAAGTGCCGCCACACCCGATTGGCTCCTTCCCTTCACTCAAAAACTGAGAAACGGAAAGTGACCCTTTCTCCTTGAGGATGCAGACCCCCTCTTGAAACCAAAGGATAACAAGACCTTCTTTATTTTACCCTTTTCACCCTAAAAGAGTATTGATGATCTCAGTGTTTTGCAGGTAAGCTGACGACAACTTTGTATTCCTGCCCTTTTGGTGATTTTATCTTAATAATTATCAAGTTTAGACACACTTCGTCCTTGGTGTTTATCACACCCAAAGGTAAGCAAACTATGATCCAGCACAAACAGATGTGAAGTTTTGCTGTGCTTTTCTTGGATGTTCAGTTTCAAAGCGGCAAAGCTAATCCTCCTGTGCAGCCTCTTTCCTTTCACAAAGGCTTTTTCTCAGCAGAAGTTCTTATGCCTGCAGGAAAATAACTTCAGAAGAAAGTTGTACTTTTTTTTTAGATGCCAAAGCTGGGATGGTAACATGGGGGGGGGGTGTAATTAATTGCAACATGTATTGTTTGTGTGGTCATACAATGATAATTGGATTATTCTTAATACATTCTGGATTTTTTAAAACATCCCTCTAGTTTATCTCTGCTTAAGAAACTATAGAACAATACTATTGGCCCACCAGCTGTACTCCTATTAGTGAGGATTTTCATCCTAGGAATACAGTTAGATGCTGCAGTGATTTTAGTTTTTAAAAGCTGGCTAGTTTTCTCCCCTTTAATACTGCCATTCTAGATGTATTGCTTTCACTGTGTCACAAAGGAAAGTGCAAGATTCACTGGCTATTTTAAATTGCTGTCTTAATTCTGGATTTCTGAGTTGTACTCACTAGTGACTTTGACTGACAGATTGGAATTTCTGTGTGTATGTGTGTGTGTGTGTGTGTGTGTCTAGAACTTAATACAACAGTAATTTACTCATCAGCACAGCTTGTCCTCCCGCATTGTATAATTTGACACAAAAGTAGTAGTGTCTCCTGTAGCAAATAACATGCTTGGTTCTTGCTTTTTGCTGCTTAAGATTGCAGACATTGGTCTCTAACCTTACAGAAGTCAGCCCACTGTTCTGCCTTGTGGACAGACGTGCATGTGAAGCAGAACGTCCTCACTGCAGGGGGGAAGAGCCGTCTGAGCAGTTCTCTCTTCAGCTCCTAGCTGAGGACATGTTACTGTCCAAAAACAGCTTCTTCCACAAAGATACTGCCACAGGCAGCCATAGTGCAGGGAGAGGCCCACAGACTCATGTGGTTCTTTAGAAAGGACTCTTTGATCTGATAAATGTCTTGGATCCAGAAAATGTCTAGATCTGCAGCAGAACATACTCTTCTTCTGCACAAGGCCACCCAGCTGAGTGATCTGGAAGCCATATGGAAAGTTATATCCAGGTTTTAGTTAAGGCTGAATGCCATATTCTTCAAGAGAACATCAGTACAAAAAGCAACATGAAGTACAGTGAGCAAATGCAAGCAAAGCAGTCATAATGGTCAATGTTAGAGAATCCATTCAAAGCCTCCTTTTGTTAAGAAAAAAAAATCAAGACCAGCTATTGGTATGAAAGCTTAAGAAGAAGAATGCCACTCTAGGCACATTTTACAACTTGTTATTATATAATTACTATGGTTTTTTGCTCTGCAGAAAAATGCAGTCTGCCATAGCGTATATGGGAGAAGTTGTTTTAAAATCCACATATTTCTGAAATCTTGTTGGCCTCACTATTAAACATAAAGGAGCAACTTAACCCAGAGCTAACTGTCCTATACAATCTGTTTACGAAGTAGAGGCACAATGCAATCTAGAGATCCAAACTGGAGCTGGAATTCCTTAATATGCAGGCCTGAAAATGCCTGATTTGTTTAAACTTAAGCTTAAGCACTTTAAACCTAAGAACTGGGAGTGCAGTAACTTTATTAAAATGGCTGCAGGTCAAATCAGATTTTTAGGGGCAACATGTTACTTTCACCAACAGCTGTTATTCCTCAATTCTGGGGTTTATGAGACTCAAGTTATGGGGAGAAGCCACAGCTCAGTATTCATTTCTTTTTGAAAAAGGCTTCAGTGTTTGTCCATTGCCTTTTCTCATATCGGGTTTGGGAAAGAACTTTTATTTGCAACCTTGATTCTTATTCTCCTGTCTTTTGAAATATTGTCTCTAAAAAACACTCTTGATTATTGAACTGTAGATGAATGCATTTATTTGTGTGTATATATTAACCAAATCAGAGCTTTCTAACAGATAAGCACTCATTAACGACCACATTATTTTTCTTAACTAAAATACGTCAGCAACATCTGGTGTTTTTTAAAATCTGTATACAGCTTTTAAAGTTATTTTTTTCTTAAACATAACAGACTCTGTGAAAGCCAAAAAAAAATGTGTAGCTCCTAAAATCTGATGAAATCAGTAAGACCTTGCTCAAAGCTGCACTTTTAGGCCTCCTGGAAAATATGCGATTCCAGCTGCTCTATCATGGGTGTTCTCTCCTGTTTTAGAACAACCTTGGAAGCCAGTTGATGTGAAGAGGATGTGGTATGGATGATGTTCTAGTGTTTGTTCAGTTGGGAGGTTCTGCTCACCTCTAGAGTTCATTGATGGCCTGTGGCAAGTCACTGGGCTGATTCCTGATGAGGCTAAGGACGTAGGGGAGGTGGGGAAATTCCTGACTGTGTTTCAGTGTGTTCAGAGAGTTTGCTTGCATGACTGAATGCGCTTCCAAACAAGTGCCATCCCTTCCATTGACATATAAAGAACCCTGCTTTCTGTATGGAGGGACTGTATTTAATAATCATGAAAATAAGCATTGCATTCTGAGATGGTACACCCCCAGAAACAATGCTGGTGAGTAAATTACAATGTCAGTGAATCAGGCCAGACTCTCTCACTTAACCTGCCATGTAGAACTTTTGTGGAGGTAAAATGAGAGGAGTATTGTTTGTACACTGAAAATACTACAGCTGAGATAAAAAATACTGTAATAGATTTAGAGAGTCCTACAAATGCAGGTTCTTGAACTTTTGCTGAGGTATCACTCAGAAAAGGTACAGAAGCAGCCACTTAATATAGGAATTTGGATACTTTGCCCAATTGTCCATTACTGCTGTATCATAGAAAGCTTCCTTTCCATCCAACTGCTATTGAGAGAGGTAACACTACTCTACAATAATTATACTATTTTCCCTGGCATCTCTAACAAACCACAGGGACACCAGAATGATGACATGTGCACAGTGATGTCATCACATGAATTCTGCCATTATGTATATCCATCCCAATGGCTCATGCAAAGTATATTTTGTATGATGCAGCCCTCATTGTATTTACTTATTTTATTTATGAAACTTATCCCTGCCTGAATCCTTTATAGACTCTAGATTATTTAGAGATAATAACATAAAATAAAACAATAAAAATAAGTACAAAATGGCATTAGATGAAAATTTTACTTTAAAATATTAAGTAAAATTTAATATCAGTGCTGATGACACCAGTCAATAAGGACTAGCTTCTGGGAGACTGCTGTCACCTTCTGAAGCAGTCTGTACCATAAGGGGAGCCCCACAGAGAAGCCCGCCATTGGATTCTCTCCTGCTGCACCTCTCAGTAGATGGGGACCCTTAGGAGGTGCTCCCTCACTGTCCAGACTGGGCAGGCAAAATCTGTCTGGGACTTGTGATCCATTAGATACCCAGACCCCAAGCCATACAGGGCCTTAAAGATAGTGAATTACAGTTGGAAAGACACTGGTAACCAGTGAAAGTCCTTCAGCACTGGTATAATGTTGCAGGACCAAGACTGACCAGTGGATATGTTGGCAGCTGCATTTTGAACCAGCTGAACTTTTCAAATGGCCCCCAAGGGCAGTCCCCTGTAAACAAATTACAGTAATCTAACTGAGAGATCATAAAGGCATAGGTGACCTGTTCCAAGTTAAGCCTTTGCTGGCACACCAACTCAGTGAAAAAGGATCCATGAGTCTTGGAGGACCTCCAGGCTGCAAACCTGCTCTCTTTGGAGAAGCATTTGTCCCCTAATTGTGTCCCCAGCAGAAGCTCATGCTAGAAACATCTGCCTAATTCTGCTTTCTTAGAACTTTCACAGATGGGCAAGGAAGTTGCTAGAGAGGAGGCATACAAAGAATTCACCAAAGTCTAGTTAATGCTATACTGGCTCATGGCCTATTTATACATAATATACATTATTTTGCAATCTGACCAGGTTAACACTGTATCTTCTTGTAGGGCAACCACATCAGAGCTCTAAAAGTCACATTCACCAGTAGATGGCAGCAAAAGGTTACAGTTTTCTGTATCTTTCTGTTGCTATCTGGTGTTCCACTGGACTTTTGAAGCTCAGATATGATAGCCCTGCTTAACAACTAGAGATCTGCTTAGTTTAACTTAGGATAAAGTCAGATATTCCAGAAAGTTGTGAAGACCTGGCTTTTCCCCTAGTCACTGGGGCTGGGGTGTTGATGGAACTCTGGTACAGATAGAGTTTTATTAGATGTGGTGATAATGGGATTTTTAGGACCTTGGCCCACTTCCTTTTAATGGATTTGTATAGTTTGGTTAATGTTTTTATTTCTGTTTGCCACCCAGTGTTCCCTGGCTGATATATGTTTGGTAAATAAATAAGTAAATAAATGAAATAGTCCCTCCACCAGGCCACGTTCATACTGGATTTTTGCAAGATAACTTCCACTAAAAATTCATGGTATTCCCAAGACTGATGAAATAACCACCCTGGTTTGGATTCCAGATTAATAATGAGATATTTCCATCCCCTTCTTCCATATTCATTCACTTGCCTTGTTCTTTCCAATTTAATTACCTTTCCCTGGAAAAGTCTGGTGACTTTATGGGACAAGCTCAGTCAAGAATGGGGGAAGGAGACAAATCTGTATGGTGGGATATTTAAAATGCCACACCCTTTTTATCAAGGCTAAAAGTTACAACCTAAAACTGTTCCTCCATATCATTCCAAAGAGTATGCTGGAAAAAAATGCTTGTTGCTATTTACAATTAGGCATGCCTTGTAAAAGTTGTGGCTCAGAAATAGAGGACCTGCTTTCCATGCAAAAGCTCCTTATTTCAATCCCTGACATCTCCAGGGAGTGATGGAAAATCTTCTGCCTGAAACTCTGGATAGCCTTTGCTGCCAGTTCCTGTAAACTCTCCTGGTGGACTAAAACTCTCGCTCTCTATAAAGCACTTCCCATCATCTGATGCTCCTATGTCTTAATCAACTCAAAATGTTTTAACTCTTATGCTGGCTCTATCCTAGCAGCTCGTGAAGCTTACGGCAGAATTGTTGAGATGTTCTTACAAGCCTTTTTAGTTGTTCTGCTCTACACAACTGTGGTCCCCCTCCAGGCTCAAAATGATGAAGGAACTTCTTCCTGTGCAGGTAAAAACATACATAGTTTCTCAATTTACTTCAATTCTTTCTTTACGCTTTTAATTTCTGTCATGCCTTCTGAAAATAACTAAAGCTGTAATAGTTTAATAGAAGAAGAATAAAATCTTACAGTGAAGATTACTGGTGTGCTGTATGACAATCCATGTCCAAAACCATATATTTCAATATCTAGGTTTCTGCAATACTTTGGATTTGAAGGCAAAAAGGTGTTCCCAATCGTACAGCGCGCTCACATATCTCTAACTCTTTAAAGCAGCTGCATTTTTCCTAGGATCAAGTGGCCATCACCTGCAGCAGCCACACAACCCCAGTGAAAGGAGTACACACACACACACACACACAGAGTTGCTTCATTTAGCTGGAGCTCATATATTTGTATTATCTGACTCATCTTTAAAAAGTGGGAAAGATGCAGAAATGAACAACTAAAACTATCAAGTCATTGGATAATTTCCCTACGCAGAAAGTTTTTTCTGAATTTGGGAAAAAAGATTTATAAAAGTATGCATTACTGAAAAAAGCTAGCAATATTTTTTTTCTACCTCCCTCCCAGTACTAGACCTGAAGACCATTCGGTGAATGGATTGGCAGCAATTGGTTTGGTGGGTTTATAAAAAGTCATGGGGGGATAAGCTACCAGTATTTCCTAAACAGACTTTCCAAGCTGAGAGTCAACATACCTTTGGATTCCTGTTACTATTAGCAGAACAGATAAAGAGGGAAGAAAGAGTTGGGTGGCTGCTCAGGCATGGCCCAAAGAGACTTGGGACAGCGACCTGGAAAATGTTCTTGTGTCCAGTGGGAACCACCTTGAGACGTTATGCATGCTGCACTGAATTCCATCATTCAGGAGGAAACATGAGATAAATGCAGAGAGTATTCATTTCTTACTTTTACAAATTCATGAAAGCCATTTTGGCAACAAGATCTTGACAACTAGTGAGCTGCAGGCAATACTGCTGTTAATATGGGCAGGCAGTTATGTGAGGGTAACCACTTCTAAGTATGTCTGTGCATGCAAAGTACTTTATATAGTTGCTTCCTCTCAAATTAAAGACTGTAAAGATGATGATTAGCGCTATGGAGTCAATATCTTTATAGCTTGAACTCTAGTCATATCTGAAACTTGTCCTCCAAAGATGAAACAAGGAGTTGTTACTGAAAGCAACACAGTCTGCCTTTGCCTCTAAATGTCCCTGTATGGATATCCGTGGGGTTGGGGGAGTAATGAAACATGTGTCATGATGAAACACTTGACTTCCGTATTTGCATCACACGTTGGATGTGCGGGATTTGCATCTTGATGTCATTGCACATGTGTCATATTGATGCAGTCTTGGCTTGCTTCACACACCTGTGAATCCCAGCTGTTAGGAAGTGGGACACCACATCTAGGAACTTGGCATTGAAGGGATATGGAAGATGTACCAGGGGTGGAAAAGAGAAATGCCAGTAGCCCATTTAGGAATGTTATTGGCTTAATAAATAAATATTTGCTTAAGTGTGACTATGTTTCTGATGTGTTAATTCTTAAGGTTTATTCATGTGATTACTTAAGCTGAGAAATTGTTTTGACCAAAGCTCCCATTTATGGTACCAGCTCTCTGTAAACCCAGACTAGCTTCATTGGTTTAAGGGACACGGGTTCCAAATGGAAATAAATAAGGCTTGTGCAGTATTCTGTATATCACATATTGATGCTAACCCTGTAATGGAGGTCAGAAGGATCATCTCTGCTTGGGGAATGTGGCTTGGGGAAAAGGGAGGGAGCGACCTCATGTCTTTACGAAGCTGTGAGGGTCAATTCAGGAGCTGATCCTTAACTCAGCTACTGTACCATGGGAATAAAGCAACACAAACCCCAAGGGTCTCAGTGCCCCAGGAACACCTGGAAAGCCTCTTGATGTGAGTGTATCTAGTCTCCTTACCATGTTCTTTCTCCCTTTCTCTTTATACAGATAAAACTGAGTGTCCTATCACGGTGTACTTTGTCATTGACACATCTGAGAGCATTGCCCTTCAGACTGAGCCTATTGAGAGTCTAGTGAACCACAGCAAGAAGTTTGTCACTCAGTTCGTCAATAAGTTAGCCAATGAGGTCTACCAGAACCAAATAGCCATAAACTGGCAAATTGGTGGACTTCACTTTTCAGATATAGTGATTATCTTTAGTCCTTTGACCTCAAACAAGGCGATATTCAATGAGAAATTGGAAAAAATCCGTTACATTGGTCGGGGCACCTTCACAGACTGTGCCCTCTCCAACATGACGGCTCAGATGCCTCTCAGTTCCCCAGGGATGAATTATGCTGTGGTGATCACTGATGGCCACGTGACTGGGCATCCCTGTGGAGGGATGAAGCAGCAAGCTGACCGAGCACGAGAAGCAGGGATCAAGCTCTTTGCGGTGGCCCCCAGCATGAAAATCTATGAGCAAGGTCTCCAGGAAATTGCCAACCTTCCACATGAGCTTTTCCGGAACAACTATGCTACCCTAAAGAAAGGCAGTGTTGATGAGGATACTGAAACTATGGATAAGATCATCCAAGTTATGGTAAGAATTGATCCCTAAGAATTGAGTTAGAACTTTTACTAGATCATTAAGCAGACTGTTTGGGGTAGATTACAAAGCAGAAGCTGTGAGATATGTTTTTCTAAAACCCAACCCTAATTGGCTTAATGTGCACTGAAATGTTTCAGGCCACCATTCGAAACAGAATGTTTTAGGGAAGAAATGAACAGGAACAAATGAAATGAATGGGGGGGGGGGGCAACTCCTGTTCCAGTTACCTGAAAAGCCCTTTAAGGAGGCATTTCCTATGCAGGATTCCACAAGTGGTCTGACTGCTATGGTCCCACTCCAGAATTTAAGATGACGCTAGACTTTGTTCTTAGCTAATACAAGAAGATGGAGTAGCCGACCCAGATTTTGTGGATAAACTCTGCCCAAAGTTCCTTTTGTTTTTCTGACCTCTGGCTATAAGCTCCTTGAGGAATATGAGCAACTAGCATTTCCTGCTTCTCAGAAGTAGAGGAAATGGTATTTCAAGCATCTTCATAATTGTCAGATGAAAGCCAGTGGCTATAATGCTTTCAACATGTTCATCCTGGCTCTTCCCAGGTCTGTGATTCTACCAATAGTGGTTGTTGTTCGTGGGCTGTTTACAAATAATTGCAACCAACAGGCAGAATCTTATGCAGGTCTTTGACCAAAATAAAGATTATTGCCTGATTGTTGTGAATTATTTCCAGCAATCTTCATACATACACTATATAAGCAAATAAGATGAAGAGAACACTTGGTTGCTTTACTTCTATCCAATAGATTACAGTGGATTTTTAATTCATCTTGAAAGCATCATACAGATTTATACTGCTGCCATGTTTATTGATATAATTGTCTCTTTTCTTCCCCATAAACTTCCTGCCTCCAACACTAATAGAAAAGGCCTTGCTTGACCAAGCAACCTATCTTCAGAACAGTCATACTTAAAAGCATTCTAAGACCACCAGTTTTGTTCTCATATGAGAACTAAGTCATGCCGAATGGAGTAAAAAGGAGGGTTGGCCCTTTTTCTGTTAGGATCATTTTCTGTATTATGGAATAATTTGAGTGTGAAAGCATTTCATGAAGTGAGACCTCACTTCCCATTGAAGATGATCCAACTCAGATACAAACTGGCCAGCTCAATCAGAACTAGAACCAGAACATCTAAATAGACTGGAAAGAGTTCAAAGCATTTTTCTGCACTGAAATCACATTTCTTGGAATCTAGTATTCCAATTTTTAAAAAAATTACAGAACAGAAGCTAACCATATATTCCTAAGTATTCATCTTTTTTATATTTTTATAGCTGGATGTGATGCAGCTTTCTGATATCCGCAGATTCTGGGAAAGATACCCATTTTCCTGACTTGTCTTCATAGCACTAGCACTAGAGTAGAGAGAGAGCTAACAGCAAGCTAGTTAGCTTCATAGAGATCTAAATATCTACATTATTCTTTTTTAAATAAACCAATGTAACAAAATCATACTAGATCTTACTATAAACATGTTCGAAGTTAAAATAATAAAAATAATGTAATCAGTTTATACGTAACACAATGTATAGCATTATGAACATCCTTAATTTGATACCACTAATCAGCCCAGTCTATCACTGGGAGCAATACAGATATAGCAAAAGCACCTGCTAGAATTTAATTATAGGCTCATAAGGTTGGAAGGGTCTTTGAAGGTCTTCTAGTCCAATGCCCTACCCAGGGCAAGAATCCTCAAACCATCCCAGAAGATTGGCTGTCCAACCCTTGTCTGAAAACTTCCAATGATGGCATATCCGCAACTCCAAAAGGCAGGCTGTTCCACTCCTTATTTCAAGTTTGGATCTCCCTCTGTAAGGCTTCCACCCACTGGTTCTTGTCCTACCCTCGGACACTACAGAGAATATGTCCACCTCTTCTTTCTGTGACAGCCTTTCAGGTTTTAGAACACTGTTATTATGCCTGCCCTTGGCCTTCTCTTATTTAGGCTAAAATAAACCCAGTTCTTTTAACTTCTTCATAAATTTAGCCTCCAAGTCTCTCACCATCTTTCTTGCTGTTCTCTGCACTCTTTCCACATCCTTAGCATCCTTCTGGCATTATGGTGACCAAAACTGGACACAGTGCTCCAGATGTGGTCTGACCAGTGCAGGGTAGAGCAGAATTGTCACTTCCCATGCTTTTGACATTCTGTCTCTGTTGGTGCAGGCCAAGATTGCATAGGCTCTTTTGGATAGCTGCAGCATATTGTTGGCTCATGTTTAAATCTACCTGTACACCCACATCCTGCTCACAAGTACTATTATTGGGCCACATACCACCTATCTTGTACCAGTGCATCTGATTTTCCTTGCCTAAATGCAAACCATTTTTAACAAACCTATGCTGGCTTCTAGTAACCACTTTGTTCCTTTCTAAGTGCTTGCAAACCCACTGCTTGATTATCTTTTCTAGGATTTTCCAAAGGATTAATGATAAACTGATTGGTCTGTAGTTTCCTGGGTCCCTTTTTCTCTCTTTTTAAAGATGGGAACCATATTAGCAATTTTCCAAGTCTTCTGGTACTTCCTCTATACTCCAGGAGTTCTCAAAGATTGTGGCCAGTTCTGAGATGTTATCTGCCAGTTCCTTTAGCATCCTGGGGTATAAACCATCTGGCCTCAGTGACTTGAATTCATCCAAAGCAGCAGCTCAGCAGTTCTCATAACTTCCTTGCCTATTTTGACTTTCATTTTTCTTATGTTCCCCCTTTTGCAGCTTCTGACAGGATGGGCCATTTTTTTCTTTTGCAAAAAGGGAGATGCAAAGTAGGAATTAAAGTAGTTCAGCCTTCTCCCTGTTTTCTGTCACCATCATGCCATGTTCTCCAACCAGCAGACCAACTGCTTCTTGACTTTTTTCTTGTTCTGCACGTAGCCAAAGAAACTTTTTTTGTTGTTGTTATTTTTAGTGTTAGTTGTTGGCCTCAGCTTATTCTGAGCTTAGCCTTCCTGACCCCACCTTACAGATTCAGGCTATTTCCTGATATTCTTTTGTTATATGCCCGTCTTTCCAATTTTGTAAACTTACTCTTTTTGTTTCTCAGTGTATCAGAGAGCTCTATATACAACCATGCCAGTTTCATCAGCTGTCTCCTATTTTTCTTTCTCTCTGGTACTGTTTGTATTTCAACCTTAACTATTTTTTTTTTTTCAGAATTTCCTAACCTTCCTGAACTGTTTCTCCTTTCAGGATTTCCATCCATGGAATCTTTCTTACTTTTTCTGATAGTTTATTGAAGTCAGCTCTGTTATAATCCGAAACACTAATCTGACTGCCTTCAGTTTTCTCTACAATATGGTGAATCTAGGATCACATGGTCCCTCTCTCCCAAGGTTCCTACAACTTCCACCTCTTCAACCATTTCTTCCCTGTTAGTAAGTATTAAGTGCAGTATAACTGATCCCTTAGTTCCCTCCTCTACCTTTTGAATGATGAAGTTGTCTGCAAGAGATATCAAGAACCTGTTGGATCTCCCACTTGCTTTAGAATTTGATTCCCAGCTGATATTGGAGTAGTTGAAATCTCCAATTACCACAGTGGTGTGTTTCCTGGACATCTTGGCCATCTGCTTTGCAAAGATTTAATCTGTATCTTCTGTTTGGTGGGTTGGCCTGTCACATTATCATCGTTTCTTTTCCCCTTAGTATTCATTCATATGCTTTCAGCAGGGGTTTTTAACCTTGGTGTCATGAATGTCCATACCAATATAATAATTCTTTATGTATAATGTGACTTCCCAGTCCCCTTTTGTTGGGTCTGCTTCTTTTGAACAAATTATATCCTTTCAGTTCTATATTCCATTCACGAGTTCCATCCCACCATGTTTCACTAATACCAGCAATGTTATATTTGCCCCCCTGCCCCATATTAGGACTCCAAATTCTCCCTATTTGTTCCCCATACTCTGCATATTGATGTACAGGCATCTGAGCCCTTTAGTATTGCCCTACATTTCCTGATAAATTCCTGAGTGCCTCTTCTTACTATTTCCTTCCTTGTTGTAAAGTTTACTATCATCAGGCATATGCTTTGAATGTTACTTTGGGTACTGGTCTCCCTCCCCCTCCAGATTTATTTTAAAGACCTGAGCAAGCTGTCTTCTGAATATATTCTTCCCTGACTTTGTGAGGAACAGCCCATCTCTCGCCCAAAGCCATTCCTATAGATAGTGTAGACCGTAGTCCAAGGATTCAAAGTTTTCTCAGTGGCACCATCCATTGAGCCAGCGGTTCATCTCAAGAATCCTCTGTTCCTTCATTGAGCCATGACCTTTTATTGGAAGTATGTATGAAAACACCACCTGTGCTCCAAACTCTTTGCTTTTTTGCCTAGCTCCTTGTAGTGTTTCAGTATTCTTTTGAGGCTGTTTTTGGCAGTGTCATTTGTTCCACCATGAAAGAGAAGAAATGGATAGTGGGCAGTAGATTTGATTAGTTGGGTCAGCCTCTCCATCACACCCTGGATCTTCACTTCTGGAAGACAACACACTTCCCTTGATATCATGTCTGATCATGTCTGACTCTGTTCCTGTCGGCAGAGAGTCACCCATGACCACCACACTCCTTTTCCTCTTTGGGATGGCTGTTGGATTCCTCACCTCTGAGGAAGCCTGAGCTTCTCTCCTTCCTGTCCTTGGAACAAAAACCATTCTTCAGACGTTTGTGAGTCACCCTCCAAGAGCAAGACCTGAAATTGATTGCTCAGCACCAGCACCAGAAATTATTTCTTGGTTCTCTTGGTCCTCTGAGTTACATGCTTCCAGACCTCCTCCTCTGGGGGTGGGTGGGTCCTTATTTATTTATTTATTTATTTATTTATTTATTTATTTATTTATTATAGTAGTAGTAGTCTCTTCCTTCCTTTGTTCAATCTGTAGACATCTTTCTGCCTTGTCCAGAAACTTCTCATCTTCCTTGATGAGTCTCGGTGTGGCCAGTTATGCCTCCAGACCTTTCATCTTTTTCTTCCACCAATACAATGAGTTTCCACTTGTTGCAAGTGTAGCTGGAATCCTTCTCAGACAAGAACACAAACATGGCACATACTTTGCAGTATTTGCCTCCTTGTCCATGTCTATGAGTCTCTCAAAGATTGCACAACTCCAGACAGCTCCTTCCTTTGTAAATTCCATTGTCTATTTTTTGGCTGGAAAAATAGAAAAAAGGAGGAGGCTACTTGATATGTTAAGGAGTATGCAAATTATCCCAATGAGTCACATCTCAGGCTGCTGATGAGACCAAGTCCAACTCCTCTCCTGCTTGTAGTGACCTTTTGTTCATTTCCCAAAATACCCTAGGAGTTTACAAATTATTCCAGTGAAGTTGGTAGTTCATGGGACCATCCTCAAGACTAAAGACACAAAGGAGCTTCAGTCCTTTTCCACATACTAATCCAATTGCTGTTAGCAGCTAGATGACCACCTTTTATCCTGCTTATGGATAAAAATTATACTGTTGAAATACCTGGAGGAGGCTAAGAGATTGTATCTCTGTGAATTAGTCACCTTGGTGTATATCTGCCTGTTCTTCAAGGTATTATAAAACTTTCCTCCTTACCAGCTTTTGAAAGCCCTAGTCTGCCCCAGAAGGAAAGTCCAGGATCAAATCTAGGACTTCTTCCACTACATTATGTCTTCTTTTTATTTTGTATCATTTTGTCTGCTTCTAAAATGCAGTTTTGGAAGCATTAGGATTTCCGTGTCAAGGGCAAAATGAAGAACCCGAAGCCCGAGGCTTGATGGCAAGTAGGATCAGTGGGGATTCCAAGCAGAAAGGCAAAGTTAAGCGGAACACCAGTCATTATTACTAAAATAGCCATACTTCATCCCATTGCTCTTGATAATTCATCAGAGAATTTTCACAGCCATAAAGTCTGGCAATCTAGTTTAAAGCAGGGGTGGGAGGTGGGGGATCCATGTTTGCATGGAGTACTTTGGTGGAACATGCTTAACCAGACAGATTCAAAAGAAAGAGTTGTGCTGGTTTATTTCTTCAGTTTTTGTATTAACTTTCTTTTTGTTCATTCCCCAACAGAAACATGATGCCTTTGAAAAGGTAAGTACCTATACAAGTTGTTTCCATAGAACAGTATTATGAGTAGGAATTTTGGGAAGTGATATGCAGCTGCAGGTTTCGAATCCCTGCAACCTATGCATTTTGCTCAGGAAAAACCCCCTTCCGATTCAGTGAGACTCCTTTCTCAGAAAACAAATTCTGGACTGAGCCGCAGTGTTGTCCAAATCTATCCAGACCAGCTTCATTCTTTTATGGATTTGTCTTCAGAGATAGTGAGAAGGGGATACAAAATATACAGAGCTGGTATTATTTTTCCTATTGTAAAATCTTAAGAGAAGGATGCACAATTCACATATCTAGAAAGAGACCCTCAAGTGCATGATTAGACAGCTTTCCTTCAAGAAATATTATAAAAGGGGAGCAGAAAGCTCAGAGTCATTTAGTGGGATTATTTAATGAGGCTAATTAAACATGGTGGTCTTCCTTTAAAAAATAACTCTGCCCCACAGCTCCAATATCTTCTTTGTAGAAGAGGAACAGAAACCATCATATTACTAATTATTACCTACATTTTCTTTTCATTTTTTTTAGTGCTACAAAATGAGCTGTCTTGAAATTCAAGGTCCTCTTGGCCCAAAGGGATTTCGAGGACAAAAGGTAAAGATGTAAGAGCAAAAGGGACAATAAATATATAAAAGGAAATAATAGATTGTGTATTACACCTCCCAAAGACTTCAACAGAAAAATCACATTCATGGCTTAAAAATACCAAGAATATAATTTCAAGAGTGTGACTATCATGTAGCCATGAAAAACATAGATTGTAGCTTTGGGGAAATGAAGTGAGGAAGAGGCACTTGGTGTAATGCCTCATTCTGTAAAATAAGCACAATTTATTAATAATTCAGCATAGTCACTGTCTCTTTAGACTATGTGTGTACAGATTAGCCCAAATTCTGTCTTCTAAAAATTGCAAGGGAAAATACATTTGTTTTGTTTTTTATATAATTCCCTTAACATCAGCCTTTTTATGAATCTGGTATGTAACATAAACAAGTATGACTCTATATACAACACTTCCTGATTATATTTCATTTAATACCACTACTTCTGATATTAATTTTTGCTTTTTTGATTTGTGGGGAAGGAGGGTTAGTAGACAAGTTTATATAATAATCATTCTTCTAATATACAACTTTCTTTAATATATGCCATTCCACAAGTTTGATATGAAATTCTTGAGCCAAGTACAGTAGATACAAACAGACTCATGCCACAATGGAGTCTGGGTTGATGAATCATCTTTTCCTCTTAAAAATAACTGTACCAGATTTTTACATCCATAATTTAGACAGTTGAATAGCTGAGAATCGCAGTCTATTCCCAAAAAAATCTGCCTACTCTGCGGCTATATAGTTCTTTATTATTTGAGGTCACGCTTGCTGAATTTAGAATGTGAGCAATTCATGGGCAATTCAACTTCTCATGTATTTGCAAAGAGCAGTATTTGAAGAAGCAAAAGTAGTTTGGAAGTCTCACAACCCTAGCCTACAATCCTGTATCCCCTTTTCTGGAACAAGTGACCTTGAACTTTGCTTCCAAACGCTCACATCTTGTCTTATCGATGTTCTTTGGCATTTTATGAAAGCAATTAGAAACGCTCTTGAGGGATCAGTCTACCAAGATGTTTCAAGAAGCTTAGGAAATGACCAGAAAACTTCTGGCTTGCTCAGAAAAGAACAATGGGCATGTGGAATCTTAGCAATGAGTGGTACCTTGATAGCAATACTCAGGTCAATAATCTTCAGTTGCATACTTCTATTCTCAGGGTGGATCTCTGAATGAGCAACAATCATTGGTATCAGTATCTTAGCCTCTGGGTTGTTGGTAGGATTTCTTCCAGATTTGCAGGTTGGACAATGAGAATGGCTTATTGGATAGACTCTGAAGGTATAATATGAAAAGTCCAAGCCAACAAACTACACGAAGTGATGTGTGAGTGTAGGAGTCTGCATATTGTTGGTTCAACTTTTTGTGTTATGGGAAATCTGAATTCTGAACTAATTATTTTCTTTATTTTACTTTTAGGGTGCGAAAGGGAACATGGGGATTCCAGGCTTTCCTGGGCAAAAAGGACGACAGGTAAGTAACTTGAAAAAGGGGAGGATTCTAATAAGTGTATTAATTGCGATACAATGGCTGCTCTTTTGAACATGGAATATACAAGATCATAATGAATCAGATTCTTATCCGCAGGCCAGTTTTTAGGATGGCATTTAACTCTAAAATTAGACTGTGATACTCAGCAGTGTCTGAATCCCTTTGAGGATGCTCAGTCAGTATAAGTCTACTTATTTTTGTCATAGGATTTTCAACTTGCTTTAATGAGAATTTATTTATATAATCTGTGTAGATTCTTTTATCAGGCTGCTCTAAACCCCCTAATTCATAAAGGAGATCAAAAGCTTCCATTTATTTTTTCTTTTAGACCATAATACAGATTCTCTCTCTTTTTTTTTCTTTAATAATAGTAAGTTTAAATGGAAGGCATCAGCTTTCTACTGCACATTAGGACCTCATTAGGGAGCAAAGAATTAAAGCCCATTTTACCCATACTGGGTGGGGGGCACATTCCAGATTAGGATTCCCCACAGCTGAAATATACACTTTAAAAATTATTCATATCATTGTTTTTGAAGGCATGGCATTATACTGATGTCAGCCTATGGTCTGTGCAGTCAAACCGAGCATTTTCATTCAATGCAAAAATATGCCTGTCCTATATAGGGCAATGTGTGCATAGTCCACTCATTCACTTAGCTTTGCATACATAATTATCTTCTGTTAAGATCGGAATGGGGAACAGAATTGATCCAGATGTCATGCTATACCTTGGTTTGACATTCAGTGCATAAGCCTCAGTCTCACACACTTTATCCTACATTGGTTGATAATTCTGGCAGTCAGAACTTACGCATGGAAACAGAAGGTGAGGGGAAAGTGTACATTTGAGTCTCTAACTTGCTCATCTATATCAACACAGCTTAACAATATACCAGAACCAAGCCTGTATCTTTTTTGGAGTGCGTGAAAGCAGTTTGGCAGAGGGATAATTGTTCGTGTTGTTTGCGTTCATTCTACACTGGCCTCTAATAAAAATATTTGATGTAACCAGATACAGTGATAGGACAAAAAAATGCATTCATCACTCCTTATAAACTATAATAAGGTTCTTTCAACTCTCTTAAAATATTTGTTGTATTCTCATAATTTCTGTTTACTCAATGTAGAATAGAAACAATCACTAATGTATTACTATTGCCAATAATCTGTGATTGTAAATCACCTACAGCAGGGGTCCTCAAACTTTTTAAACAGAGGGCCAGTTCACGGTCCCTCAGAATGTTGGGGGGCCAGACTGTAGTTTGAAAAAAACATGAACGAATTCCTATGCACACAGAGGATCCCTCCCATGGAGTATGAGGAGAGGAGAGCCGCTGGACCCGACATACCTGTCATGTAGAATAGTCCGGCTCTGCGATCAACCTCCTCGTGCATTGCCTGCAGCTCCCAACATAGCCCCGACACTTCCGCTTCTGACAGACAGCAGCGGTGGCCAATCAGGTGGGCGGGCTGGATAAATGACCCTGGCGGGCTGTATCCGGCTTGCG